GGCGGGGAGGGGTGTGGGGTCAACACCGACGCTCCGTCACGCCCCTCCCCTGTGCCCGTGCAGGTGGCAGTGGTGGGAGCGGAGGGGGGCAGCACTCCACTCGGCTGGGACGGGATGGGAGAGTATCGGGATTGGGTCGTCTGGAACAAGGTGAGCCTCTTTCCCTCTTGCACTCATGCTGCTGCGTGGTCTTCTCCCCATGCTCACTTCCGTTTTCTGCTCCCTGCCTGCCTTGATGCTTCCGCCTGCTCTTCTCCCCGTTCTCACTGCTTTCCCTTTCTTCCCTGCCTCCCTCCCTCTCCCCTCCCTCGAGGTACACTGAAGGCTGTAGCAGGGCAGCAGGTGGCAGCAGCAGAGCAGCAGCAGGGCAGCCGCTGAGGGTAGGGGACGGGCAGCAGCAGCGGCAGGGTGAAGCAGAGTAGCAGACCGGCAGCAGCAGAAGCAGCAGTGGGGGTGGGGGGCTAGGCTAGGCTAGATGTAGCTGCGCGCGAGGTATGGTACAAGGTAAGGTATGGTAACAGGTGTGGTAAGGTTACAGGTGAGGTATGATAAGCTGATCCCCTCCTCTCTCACCCCCCCTCTTCTCCCTGCAGGCTGAAGGTGGGAGCACTGGAGCAGGGCGGGAGAGTGGAGTCCACCCTCTCACTCACCTCCTCCTCTCTCTTTTTTCCCTTCCCTCCGAGTAGCACCCTGCCTGGACCACAGAGGAGTCTCTCCCTTCGCTAATCCCCCCTTCTCTCTCCACTTCCCAGCAGCCTCAGCATCATGGCGCTCTGCACGGCTAAGGTAGGCAGAGGTAAGTACGCATGGGGGTGAAGTGTGGGGAGGGTGGGTGGGGGCATGGGAGCAAGCGTGGAGTTCACTGCCTTAGGGGCAGCATCCTCTGGGGTTGTGACTTGTGAGTCGGGGCGTGGTGGGTGGAATCTGTGCGGCACGGCACTCGGTGCTCAAGTAACCAATCTGACGTTAAGGCTTAATGGGCACCGTCAGAGCCGACCGGCCGGCGGCTCTGGTTCGCGTCAGCTCTAGCTACGTCAGGGGTGGGGTTTGAGTCTTGGGCTGGAAGCAATTTTCCTCTACCGCACCTCACCCCACAAGGCACAGCCTCTGTTGGTGCTGTTTTTCTAAAGAAGTGGGCTTTCTGCTGCTCCTACTGCTGGCAGGTAATGGTTGGGAGGGCCAGGGTGAGTGAGAGAGAGAAGGGGCCTGAAACCCCTTGGGTGAGTGTGAGAGAGAAGGGGCCTGAAACCCCTTGGGTGAGTGAGAGAGAGAAGGGGCCTGAAACCTATTTCGGTGGGTGAGAGAGGGAAGGGGCCTGAATCCCCTTGGGTGTGTGGGTGGCAGGAAAAGGGGTTGAAGCCCCTTGGATGTCTGGGTGGGAGGAAAAGGGGCTGAAGCCCCTTGGGTGTCTGGGTGGGAGGAAAAGGGGCTGAAGCCCCTTGGGTGTCTGGGTGGGAGGAAAAGGGGCTGAAGCCCCTTGGGTGTCTGGGTGGGAGGAAAAGGGGCTGAAGCCCCTTGGGTGTGTGGGTGGGAGGAAAAGGGGCTGAAGCCCCTTGGGTGTGTGGGTGGGAGGAAAAGGGGCTGAAGCCCCTTGGGTGTCTGGGTGGGAGGAAAAGGGAGTCAGAGGAAGGGAGGTTAATCCCTTGGGTGGGTGAGTCAGAGGAAGGGAGGTTAATCCCTTGGGTGGGTGAGTCAGAGGAAGGGAGGTCAATCCCTTGGGTGTGTGAGTCAGAGGAAGGGAGGTTAATCCCTTGGGTGGGTGAGTCAGAGGAAGGGAGGTCAATCCCTTGGGTGGGTGAGTCAGAGGGAAAAGGGGTTGAATCCCCTTGGGTGGGTGAGTGAGAGGGAAAAGGGGTTGAATCCCCTTGGGTGGGTGAGTGAGAGGGAAAAGGGGTTGAATCCCCTTGGGTGGGTGAGTGAGAGGGAAAAGGGGTTGAATCCTCTTGGGTGGGTGAGTGAGGGGTCCTGAAATCATTTGGGTGGGTGTGTTGAAGGGAGGGGGGCGTGGTGTACCTTCCGTAAAGGGATTTCGAAGGGAACTGAAACTCCTAGGGTGGGTGAGTCAGAGGGAAAAGGGGCTGAATCCCCTTTGGTGGGGTGTACCTTCTTGAAAGGGTGAGTGAGTTGGAAGGGATCTGAAACCCCTAGAATGGGTGAGTGAGAGTGAAGGGGCTTGAAAACCCCTCGATGAGTGAGGGAGAGGTATGGGACTAAAACCCCCTTTGGTGGGTGGGTGAGTGGAAGGGAAGGGGGCCGAAACCGTTTGAATGGCTGAGTAAGAGCTAAGGGGCTGAATCCCCTACAGTGGGTGAGAGGAAGAGAAGGGTACTGAAATCCTTTAGGCGTGTGTGTGGAGGAGAGTGGGCCTGCTTTTGAGTCGACTCAAAAGCTGAGTAAGAGCTGAAGGGCTGAAACCCCTACAGTGGGTGAGAGGAAGAAAAGGGTACTAAAATCCTTTAGGCGTGTGTGTGGAAGAGAGTGGGCCTGAGACTCCTAGGGTGGTTATGTCAAAGGGGAGGGGGTTTAATCCCTATAGGCGGTGAGTGGAGGAGGTGTCTCAAAACCCCCTGGGTGGGTGTGTGGATGGGAGAGAAGGGTGTTGAAAACCTGAAAGTGTGTGGTTTTAGTGAGGGGGGCTGAGCTGAAGGTCCTAGGGAAGGTGAGTAGAAGAGAAGGGTACTTGAACTTCCAGGGAGGGTGAATGGTAAAGAAGTGTGTGGAAACCTTTGGTGTGGGCTGGTGGGAGGGGTGCAGATACCCCTTGGGAGGGTGGTTGTGTGAAATTGTTGTTTTCACAGCAACCCTAGGGGTGATTGCGAGGGAGCATACCCAGAGGAGGGTGAGTGGGAGCATACCCAGAGGAGGGTGAGTGGGAGCATACCCAGAAGAGGGTGAGGTTATCCACATGGGTTAAATGTGAATGAGAGCAACGTTGTTCTGAACCCAGCAACCTGCTCACAATGCTGTGCATGTCTCTCATGCTGCATGTGATTGTTATGGCAACTACCGTACATCGGTTGTTTGAGTCGCCTCCGCATTTGTTTGTGGCCCTCAGTGCGTGCAGGATACGGGTGCGGATAAGTTGCATTGCACTCTAATACTGCAAGTGTCTAACTGATGATGGTATACAAGTTAATGACTGTTATTGCTGGAGCAGAAATAGTTTTTCCCATCTGGTTTAGGATATTATGCGCATTGGTTAAATTTAGATACCAATTATACGTTGACGAAAGTCTCTGAGACAGGAGTTGAGGCAGTAACGACATTCCGTTCTAGGCAGTGCTGGGATGCAGATAAGAGATTTCTTTGTAGCATGTGCAGTCACTTTTCCCAAATATATGATTTTAATTAACAAGGGAACTGGAAAAATAGGTTATACGAGTTATAGCGTGTGCAGTTTCTTTGTAGCGTGTGCAATCTCCCCCCCGTCTTCCAGACCGAAAATATTCCTAGGTTCGGTCTGTACCACTAGGTTCTGCTTCGGTTCTGTCTGACAACTTCGAGGTGGGGAACTCTCAGGGCATGCCGCTTGAATCTCGGATGTGCTTTCCTCTTGAAAAGCCTCTAACACACAACGGAGCGGTTAGATAAATCATAAAACCGAGGAGTTGCAATGCAACTGACGCTTTTTGTTAGGCTGTTGCTGCTGCCTCAGACAAACGCCTGCTTGCTTCACAGCCTCGGCTCTTAGCCTCATGATGGTTGAAGGCGTTTGTTTAGTTTTATCAGCAACTGGTTAGGCGAGGTAATCGCAGCCAGTAATACCTGGAATCTCTGTACCCTATGACCTCGTTCGCCTCATCTCGCTAACAGATCAGATATAGTTGATTCACACCATGCAGTAGGATCACCTGGCACTGTGCGCGTTGAGCTATGCGCGTTCTTTTAGCCTTAGTTTCGAATCATCTCGTCCCTACGTGCACCGACCGATGAGAGCAGCTGTATGTAAGAGCAAGCGCGTTACCCGCGTCCTCTCCTCCCTTCTTTCTCCCCGGGACGCGGCTATGGCGTGCCGCCCACAACCGTCCATCATCCTTCAGTCGACTCAACAGTCATCTTCGGTTTCCCGCGTCTTCCAACCACAAGCTTCCTCGCTCATCTCCTCATCCCACACTGACTCCCTCAGCAGCAGCGGCGCTTCTCCTTGCGCTAGTGTCACACGCGGGTTTAGTCACAGAGCCGTTACACCCACCTACGGTAGCAGGGCGCTTGTATCCAGCAGCCTAGCCCGCGCTCCTCCAAACCCTAGTCCGTCCCTCCACAGCCCCTCCCGCCTTCCGAATTCCTGCAGACCGTTCTCCTCATCGCGACCCGCATCCTCATCCTCGTTGTTGTCGTCCTCGTTATCGACATCCGTCTTCCCTTCACTCGCTCCACGACGCGAGTCGCTGTCGTTACGTGTGCGTCAGTTTCCAAGAGCCAGCCATTCTGAACGCACCCCGTCAGAGGTAGAGCACACAATACCTGACGGACATCACACACCCTCCGAAGCAGCACCCTCCGAATCAACCTCCGAAGCACAGCAAAACGCTTTGAAAGCAGCAGACGAACCAGCAGCAGAAGCACTTTCGGAGGATTCTAGCTCCGCTGCTGCCGAAGCTGCCTCTGGAGATGCTTCCGAAGCTAAGGAGGAGGTTCGGAAGACGGTTTTGGCGGTGAGGAGGCGCCGAGCCGGGGGTTTAGGTTTGGCAGGGTTTGGATCGGACGGCAATGGCATTGTATGGAGCGACCTTCTAACGGTGCCTGGCGTGGGGCCGCGAAACCTGGCGAAGCTTAAAGCGAGGGGGTTTCGCGAAGTCGCGAATCTGACTCAGCTGTACAGAGATAAGGTGAGATAGTCGCGCGGGGGAATTTGGTAAGGAGGAAAGAGAGGGGAGAGGGTGGGAATACGAGCGAGCGACGTTTTGCTTCTGTCCCTAATATTTTTCCCCTTTCTGCTATCCTCTTCCTTCCCGTCGCCGCAGTTCGCCTTCCAGGAATCTTCCAAGGGTCGAAGCGCGATGCAGGAGTATCTGCAGAGCCACGTGGGCATCATCCGGCGGGACCACGCCGCGCGAATCACGGACTTCGTCTGCCTGCGCGTCGCGCAGGAGGAGGGCGGAGCGGGTGCGGACGACGCGGGGGCGGACGGGGAAGGCGCGGGGGAGGGCGCGGGGGAAGCCGGCGCGGGGGACGCAGAGGGAGGCGCGGGGAAGGGGCGGAGCGCGGGGAGGCATAAAAACAGGCTCACGTTTTGCGTGGAGGGGAATATAAGCGTGGGGAAGACGACGTTCTTAGAACGAATAGTAGGCGACGCGGTGAAGCTTCATGACTTAGTGGAGGTGGTTCCTGAGCCGGTGGCGAGGTGGCAGAGCGTGGGGCAGGAGAAGTTCAACATTCTCGAGGCGTTCTATGAGGAGCCGGAGCGGTACGCTTATACGTTCCAGAACTACGTGTTTGTAACGCGCATGATGCAGGAGCGCGAGAGTGCCGGGCGCGTGCGGCCCATCCGGCTGATGGAGCGATCCGTGTTCAGCGATAGAATGGTGCGTGGGGGGGTGGTGAGAGGAAGTGAGAGGGGAAAGGGGGGAAGGGGCTGGGGGGCTGGTGTGCTTGAGCCGGTGTGCGACCCATCAGGCTGATGGAGCGATCCGTGTTCAGCGATCGAATGGTGCGTGGGGGGATGGAATTGGGGGGCAGGGGGTGGGGAGGGGGGACGGAGGGAGGGGGGGGAGTGTGCATTTTAAGTCATTTCAAGGTGCGGCTGGTCCGGCTGATGGAGTGATCTGTGTTCAGCAATAGAATGGTGGTGGGGGGAAGAGAGGGACGACATGGAGGGAAGCAGGGAAGGAGGGGGGAGAGGGGGGATGAGGAGAGATGGGGAGAGAAGAAAGGTGTATTTAAACCTGACTCAAATAAACCTGACTCCACACTGGCGTGCAGTTGATGAGGCTGACGGAGATATGGCATACCAGGAATGAAATGCGGGGAGAAACAGGCGTCACATGTTCAGCAACAGTATGGGAAGGCGAAGGGAGAGACGGGCCCTCATTCCCTCTCTCCTTTGCATCCCCCTTCCTTTTCCCCCCAACCCATAAACCTTTCCTTCCCTCTGGTCCCGCAGGTATTCGTGCGAGCAGTGCACAAAGCCAAATGGATGAGCGCAATGGAGGTGAGCATATACGACTCGTGGTTCGACCCTCACGACCCTCCTCTCCCTCCCCTCCCAACCCCCCTCGTTCTGTGCAGGTGTTTGTTAGAGCAGTGCACGAGGCGAAATGGATGAGTGCCATGGAAGTGAGCATATACGACTCGTGGTTCGACCCCGTGGTGGCGGCGCTACCCGGCCTCGTACCAGACGGGTTCATCTACCTGCGCGCCCACCCCCTCACCTGCCACCAACGTCTCAAGCAGCGCGCTCGCGGTGAGGAGGCGGGGGTTTCCCTGGACTACCTGACAGACCTGCATAACAAGCACGAGCAGTGGCTGCTGCCTGTTGAGTCGGCCGAGGAGAGGCCGAGGTTCTCTGTTGTGCAGCCGGATTGGTTGAAGGAAAGGGGAGGGGGGGGAGGAGGAGGTGGGGGAAGAGGGGAGGAGGATGACACACCGGAGATCATCAAGGGGAGGGTGTTTGCTCTGGAGGGCGAGCATCTGCACTCGAGCATCCAGCAGGTGAGAGGGCCGGTGGTGGAACGTTTATACCTAAGCCGTGCTATTGCATGCGCACACACATGCCTAAGCCGTGCTATTGCATAAAGGGGAGGGTGTTTGCTCTTGAGGGCGAGCATCTGCACTCGAGCATCCAGCAGGTGAGAGGGCCGGTGGTGGAACGTTTATACCTAAGCCGTGCTATTGCATGCGCACACACATGCCTAAGCCGTGCTATTGCATAAAGGGGAGGGTGTTTGCTCTTGAGGGCGAGCATCTGCACTCGAGCATCCAGCAGGTGAGAGGGCCGGTGGTGGAACGTTTATACCTAAGCCGTGCTATTGCATGCGCACACACATGCCTAAGCCGTGCTATTGCATAAAGGGGAGGGTGTTTGCTCTTGAGGGCGAGCATCTGCACTCGAGCATCCAGCAGGTGAGAGGGCCGGTGGTGGAACGTTTATACCTAAGCCGTGCTATTGCATGCGCACACACATGCCTAAGCCGTGCTATTGCATAAAGGGGAGGGTGTTTGCTCTTGAGGGCGAGCATCTGCACTCGCGCATTCAGCAGGTGAGAGGGCGGGTGGTGAATTGAAGAACGTTTATGCCTGAGCCGTGCTGTTGCATGCAGAAGCACATGCATTTGAATGTTTTCCAGCTCTTAACTGTGTTGCTCATTTTTTTTTGGCGGCCTCCACACGAAAGATTGTGTATGCAATCGTGTGCTTTTGTGCTGCAATGTCCGTGCGTGCAAGTGCTGGCGTTGGTGCTAGAGTGTTGAATCCACCTGAGAGTCACATGAGTCTCAACCTGCCCTCTCTGTTTCTTCCCCTGCTCTCCATGCTGCCCCGGGCTTGCTTGCGTACAGGTGCCGGCGTTGGTGCTCGACTGTGACGCTCAGATCGACCTCATTCGCGACCAAGACGCAAAGGAAATGTGAGATCCCTAGCCCAAACCCCTCCTTCCCCCACTTTTTTACATGCTGCTCTGCAGCAGCCGTTTTCACGTGCGTTCTCCCCTCGTTTGTGGCTGCTGTGCTGCATTTTCAGCAACATCAACCACAACATGTTAATTCTCTGCAGCATTGGTCCCCTTGACTCATCTTCCGCTTATCCTCAGTCTCGTCTTCTGCTTATCCCCTTTGTCTCAGTTCTCTAATCCTCAATCGTTTTTGTCATTGCTTCCCTGTCTCAGCCTGCATCCGTTTCTGCCACTCCTTATGGGCTCCTATCACCATGCATTCACCTCCTTCCACCACTTTCCACCTCTCTCCACCCACCACCACGTATTCACTGCAGGTACACGAAGCAGGTGCAGGCATTCTTTGACTTTGTGCAACGGCGCAAGGAGCAGCAGAAGCAGCGGCAGCGGCAGCAACGGCAGGGAGCGGGCATTTCCCCCGACTCGACCCTCATCATCCCTTCCTCCCCCTCTCTCTCCATGCCGCCTGGGATAAACTTTGACCCAACATCGTTACTCCGTGCGTAAAGATTCTCCATATTCGAGAGACTGACACGATAGGCGCCACAGATGTTGTGCCGGACTCGCCTCGCCTCTCCTCTGTTGGGCTGAGAAAAGCCCTTAGGATCTTTGCAGGAGTGAACTCTGGGTAGGATTTGTTGTAATTAGCGGAAGCTTAATGAGAAGTGCTTGAACCACCTTGCGCTAGTATGTGAGGGCAAAGTATATTAATTAAAGCAAAGAGATACAAGATTATATAAGAGTACAAGGAATACGAAGAGACACGGTTGTAACTACTTTACTGTTGCTGTTGCGGTTCGATACAGTGACGACTCGGGCAACTGCTCTGTAGCGAGTCAGTTGTGTGTCCTTGCTTTTGCTGTACTTGTCAGGTCAAAGGTCGCTGACCTTTGACTTTCGTGTAACCTCCAGTAACTGCTCAACCTCCGAGGGTTGACTCGCCGGTGTTTCGATATGCTTTGCTTCGCTTCTGACTTGGTGTTTCGACACGACAGAGGCGCTTAGAACTACTTGTTTCCAACACTCCCCTTCGCTTCTGGAGTGTCGCTGCTGGTGACGTGGCTCTGTCCAGTCAGCACCATGCAGTACTCAAACTTTTGCTTTCCGAGCTTCTTGGTCAAGTAGTCAGCTGCCATCTCGGTCGTGGGGCAGTATGACAGTTCGAGTCTCCCCTTCTCGATCTCGTCCTTCACGAAGAAGTATCGCAGGGCGATGTGTTTCGTCCTGTTCGCAGCAGTAGCACTAGCTGTAGCAAGTGCAGTAGTAGGAGCTGCAGCAGTAGCACTAGCTGTAGCAAGTGAAGTAGTAGGAGCTGCAGCAGTAGTACTAGCTGTACCAAGTGAAGTATTAGGAGCTGCAGCAGTAGCTTCAGTCAGGAGCAGCTGCAGTAAGTGCTGGAGTAGGAGCTGCAGCAGTAGCACTAGCTGTAGCAGAAGTAGCTTCAGTCAGTACCAGCTGTACCAAGTGCAGTAGTAGGAGCTGCATCAGTAGCACTAGCTGTAGCTGGAGTAGCTTCAGTCAATAGTAGCTGTAGCAAGTGCTGGAGTAGGAGCTGCAGCAGTAGCACTAGCTGTAGCAGCCGTAGCTTCAGTCAGTAGCAGCTGTAGCAAGTGCCGTAGTAGCAGCAGCAGCAGTAGCACTATCTGTAGCAGCACTAGCTTCAGTAGCAGCAGCAGTGAGTAGCGCTAGCTGTAACAGGAGTAGCGTCAGTAGCAGCAGCAGTGAGTAGCGCTAGCTGTAGCAGCAGTAGCTTCAGTAGCAGCAGCAGTGAGTAGCACTAGCTGTAGCAGCACTAGCTTCAGTAGCAGCAGTAGTGAGTAGCACTAGCTGTAGCAGCACTAGCTTCAGTAGCAGCAGCAGTGAGTAGCACTAGCTGTAGCAGCAGTAGCGTCAGTAGCAGCAGCAGTGACAGCTCGGGCTGGGCAGCGCGTAGTAGCAGTAGGCGCGCGTGGGCTGTGGGCGTGCCAACCAGGGGCGCGCAACAGGTGCGTGCGGGGCGGCACTACGAGGAGCGCGCATCAGGTGCGTGCTAGGGGCTGGCGGGCAGCGTGAGTGGCGCGCGCAGCAGCAGGAACGAGGGGGGGACCGGGCGTAGGGGCTGACGGGCCGCGCGAGAGGCGCACGGGGCAGCTAGGGCTCGGTCAGGGGGGTCGCACGTGACTAGGAACAGAAAATCGCGTCTAGGCAGAAAAGGGAACCGTCTCGCCTAGGGCACGTTTTCGCATTTCGCGTTTCTCCTAGGGGCGCGACTCGGGCAGCAGGTCGAAATAGTAGTGGTGGGCCCTTTTAAAATTTCGGTCCTAAGGAGCATTGTGCTCTTAATACCATGTTGAAATAGGTTCTTAACTTAGTAGGCTTAGTAGCCTAGGGTTTAGCTAGGACGAGAGTAGCAAGGGTGAGGTCGAGGGTGTTAACCAAGGGAGAAACAAGAATGTGTGTTCACTATGAGAAGAGTTACAAGTTATAGCAAGCCAAAGGGTGCACCACCTAACAGGACAGCAATAGAACTACACTACAGCTAGAACTACATGCAGTTATACAGAAATATATTCTGACAGCAGTATGACAGCTCGAGTCTCCCCTTCTCGATCTCGTCCTTCACGAAGAAGTATCGCAGGGCGATGTGTTTCGTCCTGTTCGCGAAGCCGTTTTTGTTGGCTATGCGAATGGCCGACTGGTTGTCGCAGAACAGGGTGAAATTCGGTAACTGGGCTAGTTTGGCTTCCTCCAGAAGTTCGCGAAGGTACAATCCTTCCTTGGTGGCGGAGCAGAGTGCGATATATTCTGCTTCAGCTGAAGAGAGGGCGATTAATTCTTGTTTGCTCGACTGCCAGGAGATAGGCCCGATAGGCTCGAAGCGATAGATGTAGCCGGTGCGCGAGCGTCTGTTGTCGGAGTCGCCGGCGTGATCTGCGTCGACGTAGCCGATTAGTTTAGGTGTTGTAGTCCCGTTCTTGTGATAAGTCAGGCCGATCGTCGGAGTGCTGACGAGGTAGTGAAGAGCGCGGTCGAGCTCCGCCATGTGATCCGCTTCAGGTTTCTTGAGGTAAGTAGCAAGCTGACTTGCAGAGTACGACAGATCCGGACGGCAGGTGACGGCTGTGAAGAGAAGGCAGCCCAGCTTTCTCTGGTAATCGCGTATACCGGCGGGCTTTAGCAGAGTAGTTCCTTCCTTGTTGTTTCCTGCCGCGTAGCGATATGGCGTGGAGATGGTGGTCGGCGTGAGAGCGAATCGTTTAGCGATGGTGTCGGCGTACTTCGTGGCGCTGAGGTAGATTGCGTCTTCTTCTTCCTGAATGTTGAGGCCGAGGTATTGCGTGACGGTGGATGAGACTGTGAGCGTCAGGTCTTGCTGCAGCTCCCCTTCGAACCAGGTGGTGAACCCGTCGGTTGAGCCGATGTAGAGTAAATCGTCTACGTAGACGATCAGCAGGATGTAGTCGGTGCCCTTGGTGAGCCGGTACATGCCTTGGTCGTGAGGTAGCTGGCGGAATCCGATGCGAATGAGTCGGGCGTGGAGATACTGCTGCCACAGTCTCGGGGCTTGTTTGATGCCATAGAGTGACTTCAACAGCTGACAGACTTGGTTAGGTTCTCCGTTGGACTCGTGCGGTAGCTCGACGAAGATTTCTGCGTCAACAGGTGCGTAGAGAAATGCGTTGGCGACGTCGATTTGCCGCAGCTTCTTCTTCTTCATGGCGGCGATGGCGAGGAGAATTCGCAGCGAGGTGTGTCGGCTGACTGGCGCAAATGTTTCGGTGAAGTCGCGTCCGTGTTCTTGGTCGAAGCCGCGTACGACCCAGCGTGCTTTAAACTTGTCGATGGTGCCATCTGCCTTTGTCTTCACACGGAAGACCCATTTCCCGGTGAGTACTGTCTTGTTTCGTGCGACGCCGATGGGAACAACTTTCCAGGTGTTCCGTTCTTCCAGTGCTTTCAGCTCCTTGTCCATGGCTTCGCGCCATTTTTCCTTATGCTCCCCCCCCCAGAGCCTGCTGAACTGTAGCAGGCTCCTTAGGAATGGTTGCGCCGTGAACCGCGGTGACGAGGCCAAGGATTTGAAGTCCACTCTGTGTGTAGCGGGGAAGTGTTATGTCCTCGGGATAAACTGCTTCGTCTCCCGCTTCTGGTGTTGGGTTGAAATTTGGTCCTACGCGTTCTGCTTCGTCGGTGTAGACTTGTGCAGGTGTAACGTAACCATTGTCGGCGAAGTGATAGTACACTTCGGCGTTGATGCTGTCGCGTGGATTTTCGTCGTCCATCGGAACATCAACCGAGCAGTAGGGGAGAGGTCCGGCTTCCTCCGAGGCTCCTTCCACGTTTTGCTCGTCCAGGTCAGCTTCGTCTTCTGCCGAAGCAAAGGCTCGGTCCCCGCGAAATCCACCTGTGACATCTCGTGAGGTCTCCAAGTTGTACAGGTACGACGAAAGAGTGAGCCGTTCGTAGAAAATGACGTCACGTGCTGCCACTGTTTCCTTTGAGTGGACGTCAAAAATCTTCCACGCGTTGTAGTGCTTTTCGATGCCCAGGTGTAGTCCCCACTGTGCCCATTGTGAGAAACGGCCGGCGCGTGCAGATGGAGGTCGGTACTGTACCATGCAGCCGAAATTTCGTAACATTTTGGTGCTGCCCTGTTTTCCTGTCCACGGCAGATGCGGTGATGCGTTGTTCGGGAGCGATGATGACGAGAGCAAGTTGTGCAGCATGACGGCGTGGTCCATTGCTTTGGGCCACTGGTGGTTGGGTAGCCGCATGCCACGTAGCAGCTTGCGCATGGTGTTTTGAAGGGTCCTGTTCATTCGTTCTGCTACACCCTGCTGTTGATGGGCGTAGGGTAGAGAGATGAGCCACTTGATTCCTCGTTCCGCCAGGTAGTCTTTGAACTGCTGGGACGTGTATTCTCCTGCTCCATCTGACTGGAAGCTCTTTAGTTTTACGCCTGATTCTCGTTCTGCTACTGGAAGCCATGCGACGAAAGCTTGGAAGGCCATGTCGCGGCTTATAAGGTTGAGATGCCAGACATAGCGCGTGGCGGCGTCGATGAACGTGATGGTGTAGTTGTATGCTTCTTGTCCAGGTTCGCGATTATACAGGATGTCGCTGTATACTTTCTCGAGTGGTGCGTAAGCGGGTGCGCTCGGGTTGTGGTGAGAGACGAAGGGCTGATGCGGTAAGTCAGCTTCTGGACAGGTGAAGCAAGTTCCTCTCATGCGTCGAAGTTCTCTGCCGTCGGGTAAGAGAAGTGAATCTTTGTCAAGAACACCTGCTCGTATCGTGTTGTTTATCGTCGTGTTGCTTGGATGTCCCAGTCGCTTGTGCCAGAGATCTTCGTCAGCGCGATGTCCGGGTGAGCGTCGGTATTCGTCGGAGTTGGAGTAGAAGCTGGCGGTGAAGTTTGCGCTTCGATGTACTTCGCGAGGTGTTGGATTCAGTTGATGTGCAGGAGTTGGTGGGGTGTCGTCGTCGATTGGGGCTGGTGCAGTTGAAGAACCCGCGATTGGTGCCGA